GGAAAAAAAAAAAAAAAAAAAAAAGGAAGAGAAGGAAGGAAGAGAAGGAAGGAAGGAAGAAAGGAAGGAAGGAAAAGAAGGAAGAAAGGAAGGAAAAGGAACAATAAAATAATGAACAGTCATCACTTTTTACCTGCAAGATCAGATTGCCTCTACCCCTTCAGGTCTCTCTCTCCTCATACACAATGCTTTGGCAATCCTCTTGACCCAGGAGAATTTGGTGTGTGCTATTTTTACCCAATTTTTTCTCCTTTTTATGTCTACGACTGTGGAAGTCCTACACAGACCTGTGTTAGGCACTAGCAGTTTGCCTCAAATTACTTTCCAGTGGCTCCTGCCTTTACAATAAACCCCAAACCAGAAACAAGCAGTGCACAGGCAGCACCGATCCAATACTTCAATTATGCTTCAAGAGTCCTGTATTTGTCACATATCCTCTGGCAATGCAGTTTGTGCAACTGTGACACTGCAAAGCAGAACAGCCAAAGCCCAGTAGTAAATTTGATACAGATGATGTCAGTGCACCAAAATTTAGTAGATGAAAACTCAGCCAATAATTATCAAGAGAGAGATTATTGGACTTTGGAGGACTGTCCCTTATGTTAGCTTGTTCTTTGACCAGCTCTCTCCCGTCTTCTTGGGAGACTACAAGTAGGAAAAAGGCTTTTTGAGGTTCCTACAAATGTTCCTTGAACCAAAGATATCCTTAGCCAAGTTACTGCCAAATTTATCGAGTTTCTGGTATCATCTTCAGGTAGTTTAATAGTTAAAATAGACTTGTGGACAACTCAGAAAACTTGAAAACCCATTTTCAAACTAACCAAGACGTAAGTACATGACAACTACCTGTAGGTCATGATCTTCTTTTTCAGAGTAATCAAAATTGAGGAGTGACAGGAATTACTGCTTCTCAGATTTTATTTGTTCTGCTTGAAATTCAACCCTGAGAACATGTACCAGTGAAGTATTTACTGTATGGTGAATAGTTAACTTTAAATTAAGCCGAAAGTGTGCACTTCTAGTGAGATTCAAACTACTGAAGTTCTGTGCATTAGGTAGGCATTAAACCATTTTACAAGCAAAAGAGAAGGTTTATTACAGATATGGCATTGCCAGTTTCTCATTTTTTTTCAAGCTTTTATAGCTATATACAAATCTAGTCATCCTTCAGTCACTGGCAAGGCAGGATCATATAAGAGGTGATCAAACATTAGCAAACCAGCCTAAGGGAGGGACTTTGAATCTTTGGCCACAGGTGCGTGCCTGTAGACTGGAAGGTATCATTTTTTTCTGCCAGCAGTAGTGAGCAGTGCTGAAAAGGCATGCAAAATTGGAGCTGCTTAGGGCCCTGTCATTTTTCTCCACAACTGTTGCTCTTTCAAGCCTTCCCTTTCCATGCAAAAGATTGTTGTATTCATCCATTATGCGTGGCGTAGAGATTTGATGAAGGTCTCATATGTTCCTTCTGAGAGGATAAAGGTAGCTGCAGTACCCAATTTTAAAGATGCGGTTACTGTTTTAAAATGTCGTTAAGCATATTGTTTGCTGTTCTTCTGACTTGCATCTTTTGGATGCTAATTTAAAAACTACTCTGATCTTAGTGGACATTAGAGACAACACTGAACTTGGCATAAGAATAGGGCTCGGGATGTTGTTCCCATGCCCTCTATTAAAGATTTCATATTTCTGGTAATATGATAAGATGTTACTGTTGTACAAGGCATGTTAATCTACTGCCATGTTAGGCTAGCTGTTCGTTAAAACCTCAGAAGTTGCCATCACCAATAGTCTTTCTGCAAGCACCTCTATTTCCTAGTTCCCCTGTCAGGGTTGGTGTGACTAAGCCGGTTGAAAGTGGCATGGCAACTGAAATATATATGACCAAGCTAACTTACTGTATTGCTTCTGTCATTATTACTATTACTTAGGTCTGTCTGATTTGCTTGAAAAGTCACACAAATCTTTGCAGAGAAATCCTCTGTTGCATGTGAAACAAGTATGCAATACACAGGCTGCTGACTAGTTCTAATAGCTGATTTTTGTGTACCCAAAATGTGTATAAAATGCAGTCAGATAAACAAGAAATGGAGATTTGTCTTGATGTATAGTTTTCTTTCTTTATTAGAGATTTAATTGAAGACCTAACAGGAAATTAAACTGGAAGATTACCAAGTGCATGACTGGCACGCCATGAAAGATGTACTGACTTTATCTTTCATATTGCGCCCCAAATCAGCTTTCCCAAGTTTATGAGGTCTCTTGTGGATTTAAGGAAAGCAAGTAAGAACTCAGTGGCTTCAATGATAATGACACAGAAAGGTGCCTGAGGTAGAAAAGCTGCACAAAGTGCTTGTGATTGGAAACTGAGAATGAAGAGTCTTTTGCACTGTCTTCTTAAAGTGAAATTGGAAAAAGAAAGTTAGAAAAGCTAAACCATCTGTAGATGGCTCTATTGGCTGTTCATTTCCTAAGATTCTTTCCAAAGAAGCGTTCAGGAGCATTGCTTTGCAGGCCTTGCCTCTAGGGTATTTCACCACATGTCCAACTGTTCCACAGGAGTATAAATTAATGACAACATTTCTCTTACAAAGTCCCTTTTGGGTTTTGCCAGTTTACTTTACCCAGTACACAGCATGTGTCAGGGGAAAATTATTCAGATACAGCTGCAATTTGTTCAAACATCAGAAATCAGAGTTCAGCCTGTAAAATCGTAGAGCAAGAGGAGTGCTCAGATCTGTCTTTCTATCCTACTTGTGTGGAAAACTGTGATCCCAAAGGGCCAAAGCCACACGGAGGTGGTTTAGTTGGCTTGAGACTTGTGCTCTGCAAAGATTTGTCTCTGTGCAGAGAGATTGCAGGGCTGGGTCTGTGCACAGAGTCTGATTTCCTGGAGTCCCGGTTTTCCAAGACACTATCTTCCCTTGTGGACTCTGAAACTCTGTAGTGGTCCAGGCCAGGAAGGAAGCACTCGTGCTTGTGAATTGGACTGAAAAGGTTTCCGCTGTTTGCAAGTGACAGGAAACATTTAAGCTAGACCACATGAAGCTAGTTTTCTGTTTCTCTTCAAACCAGAGCAGCCACAAATATTTCAAGGCGTTCTTTGTGAATAAGGGGGGGAAAAAAGCCACCAAGGAACCAACTCTCTATATGACTTGACCTAAAGGCCGTGTTTGCCCATTACTGGCGACAGCTGCAAGAAGATCTAACATCTTTAGAAAGTGTAAACGAAAAGATTACAACTCAGTATACACTTGGATATCCAATATCATCATGAAAGGAAGCTAAGTTTGACCATTTCACAGGCCACACAGCCTTCTCTACAGATTGCCTGGGTACACCACTAGTGTCACAGGATAGCATCTCTTTTGGCACCTGTAGATAGAACATAACTTGAGTGCCCATCAGTGCAATAAGTGAAATTATCTGTTCCTCAGAAGTGACCATGTATACCTGCAACAGGTCTTCAGGATCTTAGATGTGATATTTTCTAGGAAGGAACAAATTGGATCAGGAAGGGTGAAAGCATTTGGAATCACACATATTTAGGTCAGAGCACTTTTTACAAAAAATCAGCAAATATCAGTGATGGATAAGTTGCTATTTTCTTCTGCTACTTTGATTGTGCAGCTTTAGTCTCAAGGAATTAAGCATATCTTACAGGAAGAATGTAAAAGAAAAGCAATAAGAAAAAAGCTAATTTCTGCCATGGAGATGCAGTTTCTTTGGAAGTCAGTGGGACTTGTAGTAAAAAGAAAAGTACTCAACAACCTGCAACCAAAATACTTACATTTAAAATGGCAGGACTTCACCTTGGTTGCCTGCCAATACTCAGTTTGTGTTTTATTCTTTCGGAAAAAAGCAGTGTGAGAAGTGTCATGTAAGTGGATAAACTAGGATTTGCAGGATGGATTGGAGAGGTGCTCCTGGGAGGCCCAGTTGTTGTGGCCCTGTCAGCACACATCGGCTGTGACCTATAAGAACTAAATTCTTTTGAAAACAAGTCTTATTTCATGCTCACTTTTTGGATCTAATACTATTTTAACAATTTGCTGAATATATCAGATTGATGCTATCACACTGAAGATAAAATTTATCATTCTGTCACTTTTACTCAATAATTCAGAAGCATTTTGGTGTAGGCTTGAATTTGAAGCAATGATTTTACACATTCCTTCTGGGATTCATCTTGGTTATAGAAATGCTCCTTTTAGTTCATGGTGATTCATCGGTAGGCATAGCCTAAGTACGGGCCTAGAATGAAATGGTAGGTTAAGGTTATTTGAATTAAGGTCTTGAAGTGTGTGCACTGTATTTCTTTTTAAATATGCTACAAAGAGGTGTAAAGGAGTATATGATCTGGGTCTTGTGAAGGTCTTGTGAAATACATAAAAGGAGGACATATATAGACATGTTATACATGTTTAGACATGTACATACTTTGCCCAGTTTCCTAATATAAATATGGGATTGTATTAGTTCTTCACAACAATTAAATGGAATGTAGTTAAAAGCTAAATACACCGAAACACCGTTTTAACTCCTAAATTTTCAATATGTATTTTGTCAAAGTTTTCTACCTAAACAGATATATGGCCTGCAAGGACTACGCATGGTTACATTCAGGTCTCCGGCCTCAAAGTGGTATTTAAATAATATGGTATCATTCTTGATGTAAAACATGTCATTAAGTCAATCAGAAAAGAAAAAAAGACGGAGTTCTGGTATAGAAGAATTTTGTAAGATACTTTATAAATAGTCACATTCGCATTTTAAAAAGAGATTATGTTAAACTCTTCTGCTCCTTTACTGTCCATGTGAAGTTACCATGCTGGCTATGTCTCAAGTTATTTTCTGCTTCTGAATGCAGAGAAGAGCCAACTCAGGGCAAAAATAATGAGAGTTGAACTTCCTTTCCTACAGAAAGAGGTTGCAGAAGACGTTTTTTCAGCCTTCCTGCACACCTGCTACATTATATTCTTTGTCTCTCTATGTTTCAACAGGCCTTGAATAGGGGTATTGCTGCTGTCAAGGAAGATGCTGTGGAAATGCTGGCCAGCTATGGGCTGGCATACTCGCTGATGAAGTTCTTCACAGGTCCGATGAGTGACTTCAAAAACGTAGGTCTGGTGTTTGTGAACAGCAAGCGAGACAGGACCAAAGCAGTTTTGTGCATGGTCGTGGCTGGAGCTGTAGCTGCTATATTTCATACCTTAATAGGTAAGATCAAATCTAATGAATACATCTCTTAATTTGTTTCCTATCCCTCACCCGCTCTTCAAAGCTGATTATTCTGTAGGCTTAAAATTTTGTTTGTAAAAGTGCAGCAGGAAATGCAAGGAGATGAACTCTCTTGGGCTGGAACCGTGCCCAAGCCTTGCAATTCTTATTACTTTTTAAACATGTTGTTAAATGGCAGATTCTACCCCCAGGGCTCACCTGCCTGGCTACTCACTTCATTGCTTATCTCATGCTGCCAGTGTTGCTGACCTGGCAACATCAATGGGTTGCTCAAAGCTGATAGCTCAGTCTTAGTGGCAGGCAGTGACCGTCACCTGGTGGCACAGTGTGTGCATGAGTAAGTTCACCACTCACTTTGTAGCAGGACATCAAGATGTGGAAAGAAAAGCTGTTTGTCCAAGCTTGGTAGCATTATTGGTGTATTCCCTTGATGCCTTTCCTTTCACTAGTTATCTTACAGTGCAAAACTCCAAGCAAGCAGGTGCCAGCAACCTCATTAAAATGCCAGGTATTACTCTCCACTAGTGCTAGTCTTGATCCACATCTGTTGAATAACTGATCTGTAAGAGAAATAGCTCTTAGAGAAATAGCTAAGAGCATTCGATGCCAAGCTGAGACCAGCTCCCTGAATGTACTCCAAGCAAGGAAAATAGACAAGCAGCAATAATGGAATTAAAAAAAAAAAAAAAGAAAAACGCAGAATTTTCAAGTTCCTGAGAGACTGAAATGTGTCATCAAGCCACGCATCAACCAGTACCACAACAATAAACTACGTGACCTGGAAGATTTTAACTTCATTCTCATCAAGAACTGCACCAGATCCTCTGCACCTTCTAGCTCGTGTCACAGAGCAGAAACGAGTGTATCTATCTCAGCCTCAAGGAACGGGAGATACTGGAGGAAGCAGCAGAGACTGCATGGCATTCAACAGGTACAATCCTAGAAGCTGGGAGCTCAGAGGCATGGGAAGAGGGAGGGATGTGGCACCATAGCCTGTGGAAGCGGTGGGGTTTGGTCTAAGGAGGTCGGTGTGTTACCTGGGGTGGCAGATCTTTCTATTGTAGAAACATGCAAAAAGCAAGTGTGATGGCAATAGACAGAATTGTTGTGGAATTGCAGAGCGGGCTGGATGCAGGATACTCTTCATTATCAAGCTGTTGCTATCTCATGTACCAGACATGCTCCTGCTCAGCAGAGAGTTCCTGCATGAGCAGTTACCAGAGCCTTCTGGCAAGGATGCAGGTCTCCTGCCCACATCCCTCAGTGGGGTGCCACTTTATTTACTGTGTGCCTCCCAGGCACTCTAGTTTGTTTGATCATCATGGCTTTTATTCCAGCCCTGACACAGTAGCCCTGTCAGTCTACCTTTATTCTATGTTCCAGTGATAATAAGCACTCAACATCATGTAAAGTACTGTGCTCGCCAGCCATCACCAACACTCTGTCTGGGCTAACCCTCTTGATAATTTTACCAGATAATTTTAGCATTCATGCATTCAAGTTATTTATTTCAGCAGTATTGATTGGGCACTTCCTCAATATCTGTTTGCAGCTGAGGCTGAGTACTTGCGCTGAGTCAATATTGTAAACTTGTGAGTTTAATTTGTAAGTTCAATTTGTACGTTGGACTCCCACATTTCTTTGCTTGGAATATTTCTTGAGCCTCCAGAGCTGCCCTTCTAGTTCCTTGCTTGTTTTCCCTCCAGGGCTGGTCAAAGTCATTGGCTTTTCCAGCTAGATAGAGAATTATTTTCCAAATATCAAAAATTTCGTGCTAAGTCATTACAGATTTTAGGAGAATTTAAAGTTTAGCCATCAGATTTCCAGGTAAAGGACATCATAGCTGGATTTTCCATGCGGTACATTTTATTGAGCAGAGGGGTTTGGGACAACCATTTGAAAAAATGCCAGGTAAGTTACTTGGCTTTGCCTTGAAATGGAGCTGTACTGAATTCAGACCCTCCAAAGTGCCCTCTCTGCAGTTACTAAAAAAAAACAAAAAGAAGAAGAAAAAAGGACTGTACTTGCCTAAAAACTTAAAGTGCTGAATTAAAGGGCTTCGCATAAGCTTTCAACTGCTCATGGTGGCAGACAGCAAAATATTTTTTAGTATTTTAATTTGTCTATGCCTGAAAATATGCAAAGGCCACATCAGAGACTGGCAGAGCGCCCAAGTGAATGGAGCTAGTCAGATTCTAGCACCACTTGCCTGGCTGATGTTGCCAAGTTTTATGTCTCAAGTTTCCTTTGAAAATGTTTCAAATCCTAATTACTCTTTTCTGACCCACAGATGCACAACCTCCCCAACAGGAAAAGGAGAAGGAATCCAGCAACAGACAGGCAGCCTCCTAGGATCTGCAGCTACACCACAACATCTGCAAGCCTATTGCAGACTATCTTCAGGAGACAAAAATCCAGTTTTACTGGTGCTCAGCAGATGAAAAGAGAAACAAACACAACTCAGGGGACTGAATTTCTGTCACATAAAATGTGCACAGGGCTAAGGAAGATGGCATGACTGTCTGCTATGGACTGCCCAAGCACAGAAAGAAACAGCAAAGAAGAAGCCCATAAAGAAATAAGGAGGAGTACAGGAAGCCAGGAGGAGGAAAACAAGTGATGGTAAAAACACGGTGACCACAATGAATCACCACGTTTCCAACTGCGATAGAGACTATTTGCAGTCCGCACACACAGCTGCTCACAAACAGCAACTGCTGCTTATTTACAGTATCAAAACAGACCATTTTACCCAACTGACTCACACTTCCTTGCTTCAGGACCAGGCTCCCCACTGCTGCCTGCACTGGGGCTAAGGCTGAGCCAAACGCCTTAGACTCACAGCTCCGACCTTGGGATGCTGCAGGCACCGAGTTCCCATGGAGAGCCTGCAAAGGCCCCACAACAGTCCCTGTCACCATCCTGTGCAGGGAGCAGCAAGAACCACAAAACTAAATGGCTTGACCACAAGTCAACACGATATCAAAACACTATGATATGACAGTGCTGGGAATTGAAACCACCTCCCCTTCCCATTTTAAATGCCTCTGTAGACCCTCTGTCAGGAGGCAAGTCTTGTATTTGCAGATGCAATGTGGAAATGTTAAATAGTATGCTGCCTGCCTTCCCTGGTGCTATTTCACTAGTTAAAAACTAGTTTAAAAAGTTTCCCTGTGGGAAGCTTGCTATGTAGTCAAGGTCTAAAGCTGCTAGCTACTGCAGAGCTTGGCTGTGGGAATACCGAGCTGTAAGAGGAGGCATTTGAGATGCATATTTATGGCATCTCACTAAATTACCAGCTTGACAGAGAAGTCATTTATATATCATCATTATAGCATCATGCATTTCACAGGTGCCACTGAGAAAAGTCCTCCATACTAAGTGGGTTCTTCTGGCGCTAGTATCATGAAGGACATGAACGTTTTCCTTGGCAATCAAATAACATCATTCAGTCCTCTCCACTTCACTCCCTTGGCACTGCCTGCCTATACTTACCATCACGCAGAAGGAGTTACAAGCTGTGGAAACACAATACTAAGGCTGTTTATCTCTTTTTGTATATTAAAATTACTTTCTACAGCTCTCCCATGCTCTGGAAATGACATTATTTTGGGGAAGCATTCTTTTTACTTAGGTAGACACTCTTAACTGGTGCCCATCACCACCATCAGTTTAAACACTAGATTGCTAGATGATGGATCATTTGTCAACTCTGTCAGAAAAAAAAAAACTTCACTAACAAATCAAACACATGGCAGACTGGGTAGCCAAGTGAGTGGCTGGCAGGCATGTGTCCCTCCTGAACAGATTTTATAGGTGAATACATCAGGATCTGCTAGCAAACCCACTAATTTTCTTGGTCTGCCCACATGCATGGTCACTGCATTTACACAAAAAACCTGTTTAAGTAATGAGACATGGGTGTAATCCAACCAAATCCAGTTTTAACATTGCTAGAATCTCCTAATGACTGGAATTATGGCGTGATTTATGGGAAACTGAACTATTTTTTCCAGTCAGTTGTGTTCTGACATGACCACTGTGTTGTTTCATCCTGGAAAAAAAGATTATAGCACAGAAACACAAGTCAGAATATAATCCAATCTTTGTTTTTTTCTTCCTACAAAAAAGATGATAAAATGGTATTAATAAAAGACAGTAGTTATTGAAAGGGTGTCCTGCTTTAGCAGCTTCGAATGGCCATTGCAAAAGCAGTAACTTGTTCCCCAGCCACCCCAGCCCTTCTTCCGCAAGGGGGGAGTTTCTTATGAACAAGATATTCACGGTGAAGGTATAATGAATTAAGCCTCTGAGCATTTGTGGATTGTAGGATAGTAATTATACATTTTTTAATTAAAAAAAATTAAAACAGCCTGTTTTTGAGACTTATGAGGTGAATGCCTATCCAAAAGTGCTCCAGAGACTGATGGATGTTAGTAAATTTGGGCACATGAGTTAATACAATCTCCAAATAGAACTGAGCGAAGGAAAAGATGATTGCAATAATCATTCTGTCTAAGCTGGTTCTGTTACTCATTTTTTACTATGAGCAAAAATGAAACACTCAGCCTAAAACATCCTGATCATTTGGGCTTTCACATGGGAGATATAAGCTTTTGCTTTAAGTCAGGATAATCAAAGACTTAAAGAAACTGTGTGCCATCTCCAAGTGAGGCTTTGCCTTTAATTTTTTTTTAACAAATTAGCATTTTCCTATCTGCCCACATGATTTAGGAGAACAAACTCCTGACCAACACCAGGTTTGGCCATTCTTGTAACAAACAGCAGAATAGAATTTTACTTCTCCAGTCTCCAAGAATAGTCTACTTTTAAAACTGGCACCAACACGAGAATATGGAATGCCTCTAAAAAAGCACACACTTTAACTAAAAACATTTTTATTTTTTTCCCCTTGCTAAAGCTAATATTGACATATGTTCCTCTGTGTCTGCAAGTAAATGGTATCACCTCCTGTGAGAGTTTCTTTTTGTTTTCTTTATGATGTAAGGATAACATGCTGGACAGTAGACAGCCCAAAATGACTGTGGTACAGCTATTTGTTTGAGACGGCTGGCATCATTAAGAGGGAGTTCAGTTGTTTGAAGGGCGTCTGAAGTATGTGCAGTACTAATTGATGCTTTAGAGAAATCTATAGAGAAAAGGTGAGATCAAGTTAGGTGCATGGTACTTCAGTGTGACTTCCTAAGCTTCCAGGTTTTGAGATTCAAATAGAAAAGACAAAAGCAAGAATTTCTGCTTAAATGCTGCTATACAAAAAGTAAAACTAATCCACAGACATACAAAATAAATGAGTTTTTATAGCAGAGCAAACAGGCAGCTTGTCTTGGATTTGGACTTCTCTGTTTTGATTGGAATGGGGAAGGGAATTGGAACAACCATCTGCTTCATATTTGTGTAATGCTCTTCAGTTCTGTTGCCTCTTGAGCTATTCATTTTGCACCATGCCTCATAATAAGTTTATAAGGTTTGCCAAGGTTAAGGTCTAATTGCATCAGCAATTGCTTTATTCACAGCTCCGAGACACATGCCTGTATATTTGTCAGTAAATCCCAGCTTACTGAGTCCTTCTTCCAAGCATGGAAACATTCAATGACATTAGCAAAAGTGATCATGTGCTTTCACTGACATGTGGAAGAAAATAGTGTACTATTTTAAAACTAGCTTTTAGGTTAAGCCATTAGGATTTGAAAATCAAAGTCACATTAAAAATTGCAGGTAGACTTTTTTAGAGGGTAGAGGGAAAGCAGAACTTTAAAGTGCATAGAACACAAAACTGAAATCTTAAAAAAAATGGTGCTGCAGGCTGTGGTAATAAGTCTCTCTAGAGTGCCCTGCCAATAACCTACAATACTGTGGTCAAATAGCTGTTCCTCAAAGTGAGGCTAGTGCAGCCTCTGACCCCTCACATTCTGAGCGTTTTCCTATAATAGTGCATTCCAAAAACTAAACTTAGAAATCACGGTAGCTTTTAGAGACAAACGAATAAAATAAACAAACAAGCAAAAAACCTTATTACTGATTTTCTAACTACTTTTGAAATCTCCTCCAAAGCCAGAGGAGAGCGTAGAGCGAAGTGCAGAGAAAGCACTAAGGGAGATTTCTGCCCTGTGCTGCCTGAACGTTGTTGATGATCCCACTGCAAAAGTGGGTTCCTCAGTCCCTAGACTCAGATTCTGCTTCTCCCTATGTGAGGGATAGGATTGGCATGTTTCTTGCGATACTTTCTAATTTCTTGCGCAGTAGAAGTTCAAAGTAACTTAAATGGGACCTAAGAGAAACTCGGTGAATCTGAACCTCATAGATGGTTTGCTTCACATACCTTTCAAAGTTGTTCTTGTTTATTCAGATATGTCTATTCAGCAAGCATCAATGGTGTTCTGCCCTACTGTAAAAACATCTGTTTACAAGAGCTACCATACTAAAATCCATTTTTATAAAAAAAATAAATATTTCAAAATACTCAGTCAAAAATACGGTGACCAGACTTAACAGTAAGTGAAGAATGCTTAAAGAACTAAGTTGTCCTGCCTGAACTCAGAAGAGGTTTGTGTCCCATTTTAAAGTTCATCCTCAATACCCTTTGAAGGAAAAAGTCTGTGTGTGTGGAAGAAGCTCAAAAGTATAGCTAAGGGACTTGGAGATTACTGGGCAAACTGGGAGACTGCAAGTCTAATTGTAGTAGTTCAGATAAAGGATAGATGCTTTACATATATCTAGGAGAGGGCTCCTGGATAAGTAAAACAGCTGAATAACATGGGTGCCAAGAAGGACAGCAGAGAGATATTGAAGCAGGTCTTTAGAGAGCCATATAGAGAGTCCTGAACCTGTACTGTATTTGGTCTAACAGCTTGGGAGTGGAGAGCTGGCAAGAGGTATTTTGCCCAACACCACCAATTCCTCTCATCCTAGATTGAATTTGGATAGCAAAATAATATGCTGGGCATTAGATGAGCAAGCCCCCGATTTCCAGCAGCATGGAGCACCCTTTTCTAGCTCGTGAGATGCCAGCGGTACCTGCTGCCAGCTAGGAACAGCTGTGTGCGGCTGCCTCGCGGTCACACCGTGTGTAGGCAAGTCCCACAAGAGACGAGCATCTGGCAGGGTGAGGAGAGGCAGCCAAAGGGGCGTACTGAGTGTGAGTGATTACATGCTCTTGCAGTTCATGTTATTACGGCTTTGGTAATTTACAGGTAATGCTATGAGACTGTCATGGTGATAGCTGGTTGCAAGATTTGCAAGCTACTGTATTTCATTAAATGCTCAGCACCTATTGAAAAAGCTTTTCTACCAAAAAGCTGTGGCTTAATGAAAGAGCAGTGGATTTTATGGAGTACCAGCATGTTCATTTAGCAAACAGATGTGGCACTTACTGTACCCATCTCTCAGCCCAGTCATTTGTTTTCTCTTCTCTGCCAAAAGCTCCTTGAGAAGAAGTATGAGAGCTCTTCTCAGTAACAGGCAGCAGCTGGAGCGACTGTGGTACCTTCAAGCTCCTGCAGCTGTTTGCCAAGCAAATGCATGTCAAAGGTTTTAGGCGTCGTGCCCTTTTGGTATTTCTCAATATCTTTCTCGAAATCCATATGTAAGCTTTATTATTTATTCCTGTTCTTGTGTCTCTACAGCATATAGTGATTTGGGATATTACATTATTAATAAGCTACACCATGTGGATGAATCAGTGGGAAGTAAAACTCGGAGGGCCTTCCTTTATCTGGCTGCCTTCCCTTTTATGGATGCCATGGTGAGTATATGATTCAGAACTGAGTTTTAATATGAGTTTTGTTGTTGCTGTTGTTGTTTGGATGATGACCTTAGTTTGCGAAGTCAGTTACCTGGTGGGAAACTGCAGGTGTGCAGAAGGAGGGCTTGTCCTCTGTAAGCAATACCATTGCATATACCTGGACACATCTTTCTCTGCTACCTAGAAAATGAGCCTGCCTGGGCTTGGGAACCTCCAGATATCATGAGAAATGTAAAATCCTCGGTTACCTTGTCAGAGTTAATGTGTGTGTGCATGCTGGAAGGCACTTTATATATACTTTAGAAGGAGGCTCTGTATTGGTTCTTAAATGGTGCTGGAGAAGCTGAACTTGCTGTGCAGTCCCAGTCCGCTTGCAGAACTGAGACGGAGTAAGCTCAATACTTCCTCAAACAATTGTGTTGAAAAGCTGTATTTTACCATCAGCGTTTGCAGGGTAAGTCCAGTATATCTCAAATGCATGGGCATGGGAGCCAGATGTGCGTCTGGGCTTCCGCTCCAGGGTGTCTGGGGGGATCTTTACGCAACTTGCCTCCACCAGTTTCTCTACCACTTCCTCCACTTAAGCTGCCCGTGATAGGTGAGAGTAAAGAGGTTTTCTTTTCCAGACTGGACTCAGTTAACCAAAGAGTTATTACTTTTCAGAGGTGCATCAAGCTGGTAAATGGAGATAAACTTTTTTTCTCTTGGATTTTTCAGAATTCTAACCTGTCCTGCACAGCATGCTGTTTATGAAGAAGGGACAGATTCTTATTAGATTTCAGAAATTTCTAGAGAAGCTGTAAAATTATCCCCTTTCTCCCTCCCAGTGATAGTCAAAAAGAACCAAATGTGGCAGTGCTTTTTCTGTGTTACTGCCTTAAGATTTTCACAAGCTCACCTCAGATGCCACAGGTGGGAAAGAACTTCAGAAATTGTTTACATGAAATATAACAGTCGAAAAATAGCATTGTGGGATCTGAAATCATTAGCAAACATCACAGTCATTTTCCAAACTCTGCTTTTTTTCAGGCTTGGACCCATGCTGGCATTCTGCTGAAACACAAGTACAGTTTCCTTGTGGGATGTGCGTCCATCTCAGATGTCATAGCTCAGGTAATGATTGCTCTTAGCAATCACCATTTCTGCTGTATTATAAACTTGATGCTTTGCTAAGAGGTGGCTGTTTTGCACAGGGAGTTCCTTCCCCCTCTGCCATGAACAACACACCAGGAGCAGCAAACCTGTGTGAGGAGCCTGCTGGTCTCCGGTAGTTTTCCCTGCTGCGTGCAAGATCTTTGCTGACAGTTATTGCTAAGACTGGTCTCATCTGACTGGGTCGAGTCAGTCCCTAAGCAATATCAGGAGTTGGAAAGCAAGAGTGATGGGTCAGAGCTGTGCCTTCCTGTACCTCCATAATGCTGTTTTAGAGTGGCTGAGAAATAAGCTATATACACGTGAATGTCTGCCTCAGCCAAAGATCAGTAGATGTTTGCTATCGATTTGGAGGCTGAATACTTTGAAAGAGACACTTCTCGGCTATGTGCATTTGTATGACACTTTGCTTTACACTGATACCCTGAGTGGGGCTTTTAGATAGGGAAGTGAAGGCTTGATTCTTCAGCTGACCTGTCACTTTTGCACATGATGTCTAATCCGGTAAAATGCAGTAGTGCAAACTGAGTGCTAGTATAGACTGTTTCTGTTGGTGGGCCAAAAGTTGACAACACAGAACTGCCACAGAAACTGACTTTGTTGACAGCCCTGGGTGATATACAGATGACCAAATGTTGTTTGAACTGCCATTTGTGAGGGAGGTAAAAAATACCATTTGTTTTGTACTAGACGTGCTCATAAGATGACTTTCATATTCCTTGCTGATAGCCGCCGTTGCACCATTTAAGAACCAATATAGAGACCCCTCCTAAAGTATGTATAAGCGCATTACCAAATGGAGGATCCCAACACCTGTAAATCAGTGTCTGTATTGCTCCATTACCAGCTGAAGTAATGACTTGTGAGGAAAGAGCATAATAATAGTACAACATCAAAGAAAGTATGAAGTCAACAGCACTTAGTTCCACTCTCCGTAGCGTTTTCCTCCCACTAAGTATAAGCAAACCATAAAACAGATTTTACCATTCAGTTCAGCTGCTATTCTTTGTTTGTAGTCTGCCTCTCCTTGTTGCTACCTGAAAATAATACCAATTACAATAAATGCCCTTAACACCCAAGCTCTGCACTTGTTCTGGAGTGACCTATGAAGTTCTGACTCTAGATGCATGTCAGGTCATTTACTGCTGTATATGGAAACTGGAATTTGTATTTTGGCCATGATACACATGCCCTTTTCACAATGGCTGTTGAGTATGTGATGGCCAAGTCTGTGAAGAATAAGGCACCTGTTATCTTGTCTCCAGGCTGTGACAGAATCCTTTCACAGAGCAAAAGCAAATCCAGAGGACAAGTTGAGATTCCCCCCGCCCTTGAACTCCCTACACCTACATCTACACAAGCAGTATGTGCATAGTAACAATTCAGTTTTTCTTGCGTATCTTCATGTACATTTTTTGTGGCAGACTTGGCTTCTGCTTACTGAAATAGGGTTCAAAAGAGCTGTTTTGCAAATCCTCATGAAGGGCATGAACTTCTTGATACACATCTACACTCTAATTTTTTCTTAAGTATTGTGCACTAGGAATGAAGACCTAATCCTGAACTTTGACTTTCATATTCTGTGTAACTCACTTGAATGCTAGCATGTCATTGTAGGGTTATTCTTGATCCTGCTGCCCACAGAACTGAGCACAGTTGGATTCCCAGTTGCCTGCCCATCCGTAGACATTTGTAATAGCATGCATACTGTCAGGCTTTGTGTTTAATGGAAGAGAATTACATGTCATTAATCAACCCCTTTGCATTCTCTGGATTGAGCCTTTAATGCATAAAATTGAATTATGAGCTGTTCATCGGTTTCAGCCTGAAAGTTTCAGTTTCAGTCACATCAATGTGGCACTCAGGTAGCTCAAGAGAAAATGATTATATACTCAAGTTTCACCCCCAAAAAATCAGGAGGATATGGGACTTCCACTTCTAACATCTGAGGTGAATGGTTCAAAACATCTGACTTTTAATTCCACCCTCTCAAACACAAAAGCAGAGCTTAGATTCTGACCTCAGAAGTATGGCTAAAGCATTGATCCATTGGAATAGCACCTGCTCCTGGGAAGGGGGATACTCAGCTGCACGCCGGCTGTCAGACCTTATCAGACTTCCCTGCTAGCTTTCTGCCTTTAAGCGCTCTTAAAGGCAGAACTTAGTTTAAAGGCAGGACTGACACCTGCCCACTAACTTCACATGGTATTAACTCTTAGTCTTCTCATGTAGGTTCAGATGCGGCAAGGGGAAGTTTCTCACTGGAGTTTCCAAGTACCCCATGCTAGAAATGAGATCCTGTACATGGCCATGGTTGTGGTTCAAATGGACTAGCCCAGGATCAGAAGGGAGAAATGTGGGCAAATCACTAATCGTGTATTTGTTTCTCTTCCAGGTTGTTTTTGTAGCCATTTTGCTTCACAGTCACTTGGAGTGCAGGGAGCCTCTTCTGATCCCCATCTTGTCTCTGTACATGGGAGCGCTGGTGCGGTGCACCACGTTGTGCCTCGGCTACTACAGGAACATACACGATGTCATTCCTGACAGGAGCGGGCCTGAAATGGGGGTACGTCTGAATGCAGCGCATGAAGGGCCTACCCTCTCTGCCGCCCAGGAAAAAACAGACATTTCCACTTAAAGAGGCGGGTTGGGAAGCGTTGGGAAGTGCCTAGCAGGTCTGTGCTGAGCTCTCGCCCTCCCATGCTATCCCTCGGCACAGGATGAACTTCAGCAGGGTAGCTAAGTGGACACTTATTTCTCCTGAGGAAGGACATCTCAAAGCTCCTCTTTTTTCTTGAATGTCATCTGGGAATTTACATATCTTTGCCTAGTAGCCAGAACAAATTATGCAGATACCCTGTGCATTATTTACTGAGAACCACAAGAGCTTTGCTTGAATCAGTATTACTGTCAAGGCTGACAATATTTTAGGCTCCTGCTATTGAATACTGTTGAATTGAGTGACCCAAACTGACAATGAGTGGGAAAAGAAAAAATCCTTTCACTGTGCAGTTGGTTCAGTTCTACCTATTTGTTTTCAAAGCCACAGTTTTGTTTTTGTTTTCTCCATGTTGCAGGGAGAGGCCACAATAAGGAAGATGCTGAGTTTCTGGTGGCCTTTGGCATTAATTTTGGCAACTCAGCGAATAAGTAGGCCGATCGTGAACCTTTTTGTCTCGCGGGACCTAGGTGGTAGTTCTTCAGCCACAGAGGTAAGAGAGTCGGCATTCAGCTTTACAGCAAACTGTCATTTACCTGGAGATGCATCTGTTTTTCTTTGCTCAGCCATATGGTCAGGAAAAGAAAATTGTCCTAAATACATTTCTGTTTAGTGATCTCTCTGTCTCAGAAAAGAAGGCTCTTCAGACTCTTACCACGAGCGCTGCTGCCAGGCGTACAGGGAGCTCGCCCAAACTAGAGCAGCAGATTTTTTTTTTCTCTGAACCTTGTGCTCAGTTCCCACGTCCCAAGTTTCTAAGCTTGATGTATAGGTATGGCCTGGAGCGTTCAGAGGTTTCAAGACTGTTCCCAGCAGTCACATGTTCCACTGTTTTCTGTCGTGTATATTTATGGCTATGCAAATTGATGTGAAATTATATTACTCCTAGAAGCCAGTGCATCATGCAGAATAAGGCAGAAACAGATGGAGGTGTGTAAAGAAAATCTGTCCCCTAGTTGGGGTTTGAAATACACCCTGTTTCTCCAAGGAATTTCAGATTACACCTACATGTTTTGCTAGCATTCTCTAAGATGAAGGAATTGGGAATTCCACGCCCAATTGTTGGCTGTTGTGGGTAAAGAAATGTGTCCTGTTCCAGAATACGTATTAAGGAGTGTCTCTGACCAGTGCATATTTGTTGAGGTCTTATCACAGAGGAACTGATGGGCGTAGAGCTTTGGGTTGTACTGCAGAATCTTTGCCAAATGCTCATCATGAGCTGACCCATTCCCTCAAGTGATCAGAGGGACCTTTGCCACCAGTTTCAGTGGGAAGAGGTCTAGATCCACTTAGTTGTTAGCAAATCTTTTTTTCTATAAGAGAAAACAGAAAGATATGAAAAGAAAAGGGAATTTCAGGTAGCTGATTCCTAACAAGTGTCCTCTCAGCAATGTTAACATGTCATATATGAGAATGTGTATTTTACTCATTCAGGAGTTGCCAGTGGCTGCAAATAAATAGCTGTGGGCAAGAGCTTAGCAAATGTAGCACATTTACATGTGCAAGGCTGGGATCTGTCTGTGCGTTAATGATTTCTCAGCACAATGGGAGATGAGCAGGTCAGCAGAGATGAGTTTTGCATTTCCTTAGGAATTTTGGCTTTTAGATACATGACATTTTGTGGCCAGCCTCTTGCATTTTGTTATTGTTAGCATGATGCCAAATATTTGTCACGGGTGTTTTTTTGCTGAGTGTTTTTTTACTAGCAGGAATTCTCATATTTCAGCTTTCTCTGATTTATATAAGAATTGCCTCTGAAAAAGCAGTTGCTGCCAACACATGTAATATCAGTGTCTGGAGCATTAACATAGACAGGACTTTTGTAGGTCCTGTATTGATTGCTAGCAGCACCTATGGGTGTCCCCATGAAGGGCTGGCACATGGTACGTTCATGAGGATCCAAGCTCGCTTGCTCTGACTTAGCCTGCACTGCCTCTCTTCAGGCTGCTGGCACCGTTATGGTGCTTGGAATAACTTTTTGGTACTCCTTTTGATGGAGGATTTTTCCCCAATGAAATACTTCCAGACAGTTAGGAAAGCTTTCATGCCTGCATTTTGGGATCCTGCCAGTTGGGAAAAATACTGGAAGAAAATTCAGAGTTAAAGCATTCACCAATTTAATCCAAGTGGAATCTAGCATACAAGATAGATGAGGTAGTGAAGTATTATTTTCTTTAGCAGTTGTGTCTTTTCAGTCTTGTTGGACATCAACATGAAAATAAATAAAACTTGGGTATCTTTTAGTTCCTATTTGATTTAATCTGGTATGGATTCATATGGATGTAAAGTCTGCTGAAAATAATGAGGGGAAAAAGTTAGAATTAAAAAGGGCACTGTATTAAAATTATGAACTAGTTGCTTGCTCAAGTATGCAGTAAACATCATTGCAGCTACAAGAAAAACCTTTCCCCTTGTGTCTTCCTGTTCGCTTTGATTACTTTTTTTTGCCCTTTTTTATCCTGAATTTATTACATGGTCACCTTCCTGTATTTGTATAGATTTTTCATCAAGCAGGAGCAGCAATTACGTTTTATAACAGGAAAATGAGGTTAGGTAAGCAAGAAACTGTACATACATAGTTTAGCAGTGGGGAAAAAAAATAAAGAGTAATAGTTAAAAAGGGTCTTTCTTACCACTGCAGTTGCCAGATATAAAATGAATCCAAACTTAGTTGAATTGTAACAGAGCTGACCACGCAAGCCAAAGACAGGCAACCACTTTGATGTGTGGAGTTAGCAACATTATGAGATTTTCTCAGCACTGATGCCCACTTCAGCTCTGCAGACATGGACACTTTGGGTGGCAGTGGCTTGCTAAATTTCCTTCTTACATATAGAATGGAGGATGTTTTGCAAAATCATACCAAACTTGCTATAGAAAAGGAGGTGTGTTCACGGGAAGTGCTGGGGTGTTGCTGGGCTACCTGGGTTTGAATTGTTTCTCCTGAAACAAGAAACATCAACAAAATCTTTTATGCATATATATATGGAGGCTTCTTTGATATACCTCTGACAATACTTGTAAAAGTACAAAAGACCTACTTTTAAGTTTTGGATAATGAGTTGTTTCTCATGCTAAAAAAGGCCATCTGGAATTACAGTTGTCCAATGTTAGTTGGTTAGCACTGAAGTGAGCAGAGACCTTTTTTGTCTCCTAAAGGCTTCTTAGACCTGAGCAGTCAGTTTGACACCCAAATTCAGTCGTCTCAGGGACCTAACATTTATGTTGTTATAACTGCTTTGTAGTCAATTTGTTCCACTTTAAACTGTTTTACATGTAAAAAACCAAGAAAAATGTGTATAAATGAAGATTATGAAGTAGGATAAGAAGCAAATGGAAGTTCTAGTTGTGAGTTTTAATGCTGCTACTCAGGAGTCTCTAGAGAAATAAAATATCAGGAGAAAAGTGGGAGAGAGGTATTCAGCTTTCTGAGGGGCATGTACCAGTTTAAGTTAGATGTTAGAGATGTATGTTATCCCAAAGGACCAGAGTGATGGTGAAGATGCAGAGCTGAGTAATGAGTAGCTTGACTGTATATAGGATCTCCTGAGGAAGTGGCCATAGGATGGCCACTTTGGCAGGGCTCCTGAGAGGAAGCCTTCCCACTTGCCTGCCTGCTCCCCTTCCATCGGGGTCCCTGTGGAAGTCTCCGCAGAACACTGCATACCATGTTAGTGTAACTTTCCTCTGCAAAGATCAGAAGTTCATGTTCCCTTGGTTTTTTTTTTTTTTTTGTAGGCAGTGGCAATCCTGACAGCTACATATCCTGTGGGACACATGCCATATGGCTGGTTGACAGAAATTAGAGCGGTGTACCCTGCTTTTGACAAGGTGAGTACCCGTGTCAGGAGAGTGGTAAATACATTTTAGTGTAGCTTCACATCCACGGTCCACTTTCTCTCTTGTACATTCTCTCTTTTTATTTTAGGGCTAATTTAGGACTAGCTTCAGTGACATCAGAGCAACTTTTTTGTTGTTTTTTTTTTATGGCCGTTTCAAGCTTTTGCCTAGTTTTTGAGTCATCTTGTTTCCGAGCTACGAGGTATTAGGCTACCTTTTGATACATAGATGTTATATTTTTAAGGATTTTTTTAAAGCCTTCACGTACTAAAATACAAACAACTACTTAACTAATGAAATGAATTCTCATGAAGTATCCTACAGTGAAAAAGCTTCTATCTCTTTCAGATTCAGCCCCTTCTTCAGGTTCTGCATTATCGCTCATTTGTTGGGTTCATTTGTAAGAGTATTTAACAACTGATATTTCACAGGCTGACTATAATAAAGATAGATAGATAAAGATACTATTTTAATGTTACCGACTTAGCTGACTGAGATTATGAAGATTTTTCTTGGCAAATCATCTAATTACGTAAGAATGCCAAGACTACTCCTCGGAGTGTGCAGCAGGTAAACAATTAGTGTTTTGCTTTGTTTTAGAATTGCTAATCACTGGCTCACATGCTGTGTGAAGAAAAGGGGTGTTCCGTAGCACTGCCATTCAAATAATGACTCACCCAGTTCCTTCTGTTTACCAAGTAATCATGTCACCAGAATTTTATTGCTTGGTCAGGGATGGGTTCAGCTGAAGTAAGCTGTGTTTGATCTGATCTACCATATTTCCAGGAGAATTTAAAAACAAAACCTAGAAAAGACAAGTCAGTCATCATTTCCTGACTTGCCTGTATTCATCTGAAATGGTTATGGAAGACAAAATACAACATGCAGGCTCTTTTCAGAAGTCATGCTGCTGGAAAAAAACTGTAGAACACAAAACAAATAAACTGCAAGAGTAAATTGGACAGGAACAGGAAACAGCATGCTAACCTTAGGTGTTTTGAGCTACAGTCAAGTGGATATCTGTTTCCATCTATTGCCATGCAAAATTAGCTAGTAATCAAGAGGCTTAAATCTGGGTCTCCTTTCAGCTGACAGAAGACATGCCATGAGGTTGAGGGGCCTCAGTATGAGACTGTGCTTTCTTCCTCCTTTGTTTATTTATTGGAAAGAACTTGGGGAAGGAAGGAAGGAAGAAAAAGGGAAGAAAAAGCTAGCATAAGGCCCAAACTGGTATGATTAATCTAATTACCAAGTAAGTCTGGAATGGGGATTTTTGTTCCATGTTTTAAGAGCAATTTAGCATACAATGTGCTAAAAGTGGTAGCAACAATATAAATGATATTTTACCCTGGCAACCATGAGTACAGACTACTCTACTGTGCTCTTTACACAATAAATACCAAAACAGAAACCCATATTATTTTCCTTGGATATTTGTGAGGGCTGTTTTACTGTTGATGACACATGATTCATTTGTCACCATGCTTTTCAAAAAACTTGTTTTCTTAAGCTAAAACTTTCTTGAGAGACTCCAGCTAGAACTTCACTTTGTTTCCAGATTTTCTAAAACTTTGGATGTAATTTTCAGATGTTGAAACAGTTTGCATACACATGGGCTCAGATTTATTTTGTCAGTTACTCAGAAAGATGGTGATGTTTGTTCCCTGCCTTAGCCAGCCTTCCTTGTGGGCTAAACAGGACAAGTCACAGATTCTCGTCTTCAAAGTGCGATTGTTATATTTCCTCACTTTAGTCAGAGAGATGCAGAGTCGGGCTTCAATCTTCCATTCAGCTCTTCATCCAATACGATTTCATGGCTAGCGGTTGCGCTAAGGTTTGCAAGAAGAAAACAGGAATATCGTAATTCTGCGCTGCTTTTGCATGGTGATAATGCCAGTATTCCTAGTGGACTGTGCTGTGTGACTCACAGCCACAGCACAGGCTGTGGGAGAAGCTGTGAATGCTATTTATCTGAGGAATAGATAGGAATGGATAGGCTCTTTAGTCTATTTACTGCATCAGGCATGCTTCAATCTAACAACTGAACAACGTGCAAGAGATAGGAATAAAGAATATAAGGTCAATAGATAGGCCAAGGGCAGAGTAGATCAAGGGCAGTGTGAGCACCACTGAAGTAGTTACAAACTCTTCCTCTTTCCTCACATCCATTTTACGTGGCTGGATTTTGATGTGCCTTTTTTCTTTCCAGTTATTTTAGCCCTATTTTAGAAAGTTGGTCCATGCAGCGAAATATACAGTGGTGAGTGGAGTAAGCAAAGCCCATCTTCACATATATAAAAACTAATGATAGCAAAGTATTTCTTCTTTGACACAAGGAATAAGAACAGACTCATCAAGAAAAGGCTATGGAAAAATTTTGTAACATATTTCCAGAATGGGCAGACTTGGAAGTAGCTTCCTGCTTCAGCATATGAATCGCCTCTATGCAAAAGTCCAGCTTCCAAGCAGATAATCTGGGCAAGAGCAGCAGGGCTGTCCCGATGTTGTCACTGCGCTGATCACCACAAAAGTAAAAGGCCATCAGCTGCTGAAATGTGTGTAAAATACTGCACCTTGCACAGAGCTCGTGTTTTGTTCACCCCCCTCCAAGACAGGCTTGTATAAATGTCTTTATCTCTTGTGAGTAATTCAGTAAAGCGAAATGACCATGTGACAGACACTGCTGCTCTATCTGAATTACATCAAGGCTGAATGAGTCTTGTGCTGTATCTCATGGTAAATTTTTTATCAGGTCAGCACTTACCCATGTGTTTCGAACAGCTCCGTGGTAATTGCAGTTGATGACCGACCCTACAGCATATTGCTGTATGACCCTATAGCATATTGCTGTAGAGCTGCTTAAAGGTGTCGTGCTTTTGATATCCCTTCTTCTCCTTTCACAGACCATTTAGTTTGTCCTAGTGGGTTTCTTGAGGGCAATTTTAAAGCTTCAGCATTGTTTGCTATATCACACCTTTGGTGGAGAATTTTTGCTGTTGTTTTAAATAAAGCTTCACTACCATGTGTGCACAGAGTCCATGGTCAAAGTGGAACATCTAATAGTTCTAATTATGTTCTGTTCATTAAACTGCATTAAGAGAGCCAGGTGTTCCCAGTGCTTTGTTTATATTAGCTGCTTGGCTAATTGGATCAGTGTGGGTGCTCACATTGCTGTATGGATCCTGAGCCTTTCTGTGGGAAAAAGAGAAAGGAATCCTATTTTTCCTATCTATTAAAACATGCTACAAATTCAAAACTAGGGTCACAAAAATCACATAATATCATTTTTCCAGCTAAGATTTGCTAAATAGGACTTGCCTCTTAGAAAACTGAGGAGATTGCTGAGTCCTCAGTGACCGTATGAGCAGTTATTGCCAGTTTAAGTGGAAAATATTCTGTGGTGGTACAAAGTACTCAGTCAGAAAGCTAGATTAAAAAGCAAACAAGCAAAGCAGGGCACGCACGCACGCAGAGCCAGGTCCGACGCATGACCCTGGCGCTGTCAGCTCCCCAGCAGTCTGGAGCCAAGCTAATGCTCGTTATCTCTCCCTCTCGCCCTAGAATAACCCCAGCAATAAATTGGTGAACACTAACAGCACCGTCACAGCGACACATATCAAGAAGTTCACTTTTGTCTGCATGGCGTTGTCTTTAACGGTAAGAAACTTTTGGTCAGCTCTCAGGCTTTTGTCTAAAGCAAAAAAATATGTTCCCTACTTAATGTTACAGCACTAGCAATTCAAGAAAGGTGAGTTCTCTGTTACTTTCATCTCAGAGAAAAGGGGAATGCAGCCAGAGTAATGTGCTTAGAGCAAGAAGAAAATCAGCCAGCAGTAATTCAGACTAGAGATCTTGAAGGCAAAAGTTTTTTATGTAATTGTTTAATGAAAACAACAAGTGGTTTCTGAATCCTTCATTGCTACTCATTTTGAATCAACCTCCAGATGCAAGGAGAATGCAAGAGATCCCCATTTTCCCTTTTATCTCATTTTTCAAGGCCAGAATTACTGATAACCAGCTTATCAAGAGAATGAAGTACCAAATTTGTCTAATGTGGACTAGGGTGACAGGCTGTCCCCTAGCATCCATAATTTACTGTGAATGACGAAAATGTTGGCACGTGTGGGAAATGCAGTAGCTATTCGCTGCTACGTATTGCATGGCATGAGTCTTCCATGCTAAGGATACTTTCAGGCAAAGATGGCTTTGTTTACTCTCAGAAATGAGCTAAAAAGGGCGATCTCAGAGACTGTGCTGATATCAGGAAAAAAAATGCTAGGAAAAAAATTGCAAAGACTAATGGCTAAGAAGTTGTGCAGACTAAAAGGTTTGTGTGAATGATTTTACTCCAGCCAGAGAGACTAATTCTAATATTCTAGTTAAAAATACCTACTCTAACATAAAAGGCATTAAGATTAACGTATTTCATGACAGTAACTTGGGCACCGAATACCAGTTGGAACATTTATCAATCTTGCCATTTCAGTCTTCCTCTAAATCTCCTTAATACCTCTTTGACTACACCTCCTTTATAACAAGCAATTTTAAAAGAAACTAAGCAATTTATAGTATTGCATGATTTTTTTTTCATGTGTGCAATTTCTGGTCAAAAGTAATATATACTCTTAAAAAAATAAGTTTATCAAGTAGATTAAACTATCATCTATCATATGCTATATAGCCAAAGATTTGCAGAATTAGAGGTGGAAAATTAACAAAGACTAGTCTGCTTTTTGTGTGTTTTTCTTTTTCTTTTTTTTTTTTTCTTAATTCTCCTATGAAGGTGCTTAGTGTGACAGTGAAACTTGAAAATTGTTCCAATCAATCAGCTGTGTAGACTCTCCATCTAGAACTGGGGAAAGATTGTGATTGTGTGCAAATGTGGCAGACTGACAACTTATTGAAGATAGAGTGGAATTTAAGATGAAGAAAAATCACGAGTGCGGGCATATTGAGGAGCAGGGTCTCTGTGATGGGTGAGCCAAAGACCTTCATTTAGGGTTAAACACAACTTCGTTTCAGATCCCAATGAGCTGCCTGGTCCCGCGCTGGCCACGTGGCTGCAGCTCCTGCCTCTCCTGCTCAGCCCCCATCTGCCCAGGAGACACTGCCCAGCACTGGCCCCAGAGTGGCTGCAGCACACGAGAGGGTTTTTGAGTTTTGCTCTGAAGCAAGGCTGGAGAGAGATGCATTTTGCACTTTAAAACAGAAGTTTCACAGAACTCCTTATGAGACCTGCTGAGAGATTCAGCTTCATCTTTCTTGACTTGAGAAAGTAACCCAGCTACAAACATCTGCAGATCAGAAGCTTGGCTTGTATTTGAGCCTACAGCATTCAAATCTGCTCCATATAGCACTTCACCAGAGGTCAGGTCATGCTTCCTTGACTTTCCAGCCTAAGGAAGAAATCTTGCTGCACCGACATCATTTCAAAGTGGCTAGCTTGCATGCATGCAATACATCTTTTCCAAGAAAGCTGTTTCTGCACAAGTCTGTTTAGCAGCAAATAGGTTATGGTGGGAAAAAAGAAAACTTGCAAGGGGTTGTGGATAATAAAAAAATGATGGAGTAGATAAGTGTGGTAAACGCAAGTCATGCTTCTACATAGGATAGTTTTACATTAGTTTACAATGAGTCGAGCTACTATTTTCCCACTTTAGGTGGACGTGCATGACCAACACTACCTCTGTCCAGCATGGTTTTTGGTCATTTGAGATGTCGAGGCAGGGCTGTGGAGGGGCCGGAGCTGGCACCACTGCAGTTTCATGGGGCAAGGACTGATGACCCTGGGCTAGGACTAAGCAGGGGAAGAGGTGTCTGTTCATTGCCTAGATTTACCTTGGACTCTCTTTCCATGTGGTTTAGAGGCCAACAGCACTGACTCCCAGCTTGCACTTCCTACAATCCATAATCGTGACAGATATATATCTTCATGTTTCATTCACTGCCATCGTCTGGAGACTTTCTGCAGTTTTTGTGTCATCCTCTATCACACGCATTGAGCTTTCCCTAGTGCTGTTCACCTTGGTCTGCCAGTCGAAAGTCATGTTCTCCTGGATAGCTAGAACTCCCTTGAAATCTGCTGGTATTTGCAGAGACCCACAAAGGGGACAAACTTGCCTCTTTATAAACTGTTCTGAGAATTCAATTTCCATTTCAAAGCTTTCTCTGAACTGATTATTTTCTTAACCCTTCTGGGCATTTATCAGCTCACTCAAGTTCTGACAGATCATGAGCTTCTCATATTACCAGCACCACCCTTTGCAGAACTATTTTTAATTATTGCAATAAGCTTTTGCTTTATAACTTTTCAGGATACTTCTTTCAGAAGTTCTCCTTAGTACTAAGCAATGGCAGCTCTTTTATTAACTCATCCTAGGAAATTTCATCTGCATTGAGATTCCAGAGACACTTTTGATGTCCATTGCTTTTTCTGTCCTGTTTCTATTTTTGTCTACTAGTGGTACATTCTTAGGATTGCTTGAGGGGAAAAAAAAGGCACATGAGTTCTAAAGACTCAGTGTGTTTCAAGGGCCTGAGCCTGCAAATGCTTTTTTACCCAAGTTCGCCTGAACTAGCTCAGCTCCCGTGACTATCAGTAGCAGCTCATGCTTTCCTGGATAGGCTCTACCACAGTGAGTGGCAGTCAAGCTACTGAAATCATCTTTGGCAAGATCATGTTCTCCAGGACCAGAGGGAAAATGGGAAACAGTTCTCCCAGGCTGGCCAAGAGATCAAAACAAGACAAATACTTACACATATCACATGACTCCATTCTCCACTGGATGCACAGTAGAAGGATTCCAGAAGACCGAGAGATGAAAGAATCCCATTAACTTTTAGAAAAAAATAATAGTCATACTTTTAATATGAGGAGCAGTCATGACGCAAAGTAGCCTCCTGATGTAAAATCCTGGGAAAACTCCCAGTCCTTGAAT